GTTCGAGGAGTGTGCTCGTGACTTAGAGGCATTGAGGGCAATGCCTAGTTCAAGTGGGAGAGGATTTCACGGACCGAAACTTTGGCCGAGCAATGCCGAGGGGGCTGCCAAGGAGTGCCAGGGAGAGGGTATTGCCGAGAAGAATACAAAGAAGCGCCGAGGACGGGCTTGCGGTGCGCAAACATGGAGAGGCTAGCGGAGATCCTTCAAGACGTTCCAGACCCCGTGGAATGTTCCGGAACCTTCCGGAATATTTTGGAATCTCATGAATATTCTGGAACATTCTAGAAGCCGAATTGATGTTTATCAACTATATTTAGTTTATCCGTATCTCTTTATTTAGATATTTTTATCCGTAGATTGTTAAGATATAGCGTATCCGAGTGTGGATTTGATTTGATCCGTGTTGGACCCGGTCCGTTAAAGTGTCTATATATAGAAGGGGAGTCCTCAGTTGTACTTGACCTGCTCTACTTTTCCGGGTGTATCTTATAGTGTTCTTACTTTTAGCGTGCGTTAGAATTGTGTGCGAGGCACTAGTGAGTCCTCGAGGGAGTCGAAGAATCGCTAGGCCGACGGAAAAGTGTTCGAGGAGGAACCATCCGACCCGTTACAAGTGATATCATTGCAAAGGTCATTTTGCTAAGAGTACTACTGGAGCTACTTCTCAGTACAACAGACATTTGGCATCTTGCTTACAACGGAAGTTGGCTCTCGGGAAAAAAATAAAAGCATACAAAAAGTGTTTTCGTTCACAGAAGGATCCACTGATGGTATGACTTCTATCACTAACTTTTATTATGATCATGCCAAGGTTTAGGAACTAGCATCTCACATGGTACTCGCTTATGAATATCCATTTTCTATAATGGATCATGTTGTTTTTAATAAATTCAGGAAAGCAGTATCTCCATTTTATAAAAAAATTTTCCCGACAAATGGTTAAGGAAGACTGCATGAGTACTTATGAAATTGAAAAGAGAAAATTGAAATCATTGTTGAAGGGTGCAAGTAGGATTAGTATTACTACTAATTTGTGGAAATCTGGTCAACAAATTCAATATATGGTTGTAACTGCATATTTTGTTGATTCTGATTGGGTAGTTCAATTGTGAGTGCTAAATTTTTGCAATGTCCCCTCTCCTCACACAGGAATTGTTATAGCTGATGCTTTAAGCTAATGTTTTATTGATTGGAGAATTGAGAATAAGGTTGCAAGTATTACCGTAGACAATGCTTCATATAATGATGTGTGCATTAGAAGGCTTAAGCAAGATTTTTCTCTTCGAAAAAAATTAAGTATTGATGGAAAAATTTTCATGTTCGATGTTGTGCGTATATACTTAATCTTTTGGTGCAAGATGGTTTTGATCAACTTGGTGATGTGATTGATGTTGTTAGGGATGACATTAAGTATTTGAATAATTTTGAATCTAGGCTTAATCAATTTGCCAAGATTAAAAAACAATTACAGTTGTCATCTAAGAAACTGATTTTGAATTGTCCAAAAAGATGTAATAGCACAAATTTGATGTTGGCTTCAACTTTAGAATTCAAGGATGTTTATCCTAGATATGCAAAAATTGATCTTGAATTTCGATATAATCCTTCTGAATTAGAGTGGAAAAAAGTGGAAGAAGTCTGTGAATTTTTAGGGATATTTCATGAAATCACTAATATGATTTATAGATCTGAATATCCATCGGCCAACATTTTTCTTGTGGAGTTGTATAGGCTTAAAGAATTGTTGAATGAAAAAAAAAAAAAAAAACGATGTCTCTAATCACATTAAGTTTCTGGCAATTGGTATGTCTACTAAGTTTGATAAGCATTAGGGGGAGAGCAATATTATGTTATCACTGGGAGCAGTTTTGGATCCAAGGTACAAAATAATTTTTATTAATTATGCTTATCCAGTGATTTATGGTGAGAATGCAGCAGAAGATTATGTGACAGAAATAAAAAAAAAATTCTTCGTGAGTTGTATGATGAATATGTAAATAGTCACATGTCTTCTCAATATGATCAACAACAGAGGTTGACTAGAAAAAGAAAACAAAATGAAGTTAATAGTTCTCTGGTAAAAAATCTGGTTCATCAGGTATTTTAACTGGTAAGAAAAAGTTTCATATGAGTGAAATTGATAAAATTCCTCCACAAAAATCAAATTTGAATGTTTATTTAGAAGAATGTAGATATATTTGTGATGCAAATGCAAATTTGGATATTCTTGGTTGGTGGAAAGGAGAACGATTGAGGTTTCTTATTTTATCAAGATGACTGCAGACATACTTTCTGTCACTGTCACAACAGAAGCTTCATAATCTGCCTTCAGTGTTAGAGGTAGAGTGATTGATGATCGAGACGCTTCTATATTTGTTGAAACAATACAAATGCTATTGTGTGGAAATGATTGGATTCATAGCCGTTACAAACTCAAAAATAAATCTTATGTAAGTCATTTTAATTCATATTATTTATTTATTTATTTTTCATATTTGATCCTGGTATATATTTGTATTTAATTTCTCATATTATTTTATAGGAATGCAATGAGACCGAATCAAGTGCATTTGAAGAAGTTGAAGTTTCTGAAAATTTTATTGACTCGCAATCTACGTTATAATTTATTTTTTTAGATTTTCTGGTAGTCTTTATTGACATTTCAAGGTAAATTTTTATAGTTATTTTATTTACAACTAAAATATACCATATTTTCTTTTTAGTATTAATTTTTTTATATTATTAATGCAGGTACAGAATAGAATATAGAGTTTTAATCAGAACTAATTTTCTCAAAAAATGCTATATTTGAATAAAATTTGGTAAGTTTATCGACTCATATTAAATAATTGTATGCATTATTATTTTTAAGAGCAAAAATCATTTTTAGTCCCATTCAATATCATAATTATCAATTTTGGTCTCATTCAAAAGAATTTATCAATTCCGGTCCCACTCAAATGAAAATTTATCAAAGATGGTTGACTGGGACTGAACACAACTGTGTTGGCTTGAACACGGCTGTGTTGGATGACTCAGAAAGTGACTGGACGTCCCAGGCAGTCAACATGGCCGTGTTGGTCTCAACACGGTTGTGTGGATTACCCTGCACTTCTGAACACAGCCGTATTCCTACCCGTGTTCTGAACACAGCCATGTTCCTGCCCATGTTCTCAACACAACCATGTTCTAGGCCATGTTCCTGTCCATGTTTTCAACACAGTCGGCTATGTCCACAACCATATTTTCAATATAATCATATTGTAGGTCATATTTATTATTATTTTCACTTTTTGGTTAAAATTATTTGATATATATTTATAATTCAACAAAAATATTTTTTAAAATTATTTTATAATATAAAAAATAATAAATTTTTAATATTTTAAAAATATATAAAAATAATAATATATTAATATTTATTTTTAATAATACTCCTTCCGTCCCACTTACCATGTCTATATTGCAGTTTTTTTTCGTCCCACATCCCACGTCAGTTTTCTGTTTTAGAAAATAATTACATACTATTTTTTAATTTATTTTTTTAAAAAATTTAATTAAACTAATGAGTTAATTTAATCTTAATTTATAATTATTTATATTATATGATCATTATTTTGACCAATACATTCTTAATTATCTATTAATTTTACTTATCCTAAATTCTTGTGTTTACAGTGACCCGAAGGGAGTATTATTTTAAAATATTATTTTGAATAATAAATTTAATTTATAATTTTTAGAAATAATTAATTTAAAATAATGTTTTAAAATTTTTACTATAAATTTTTAAAAATATATATAATGATGATTATTAAAAATATATATTAATATATTATTATTTTTATATATTCTTAAAATATTAAAAATTGATTATTTTTTATATTATGAAATAATTGTAAAAAATATTTTTGTTGAATTATAAATATATATATCAAATAATTTTAACTAAAAAGTGAAAATAATAATATATATGACCTACAATATGATTATATTGAAAACATGGTCGTGAACATGGCCTAAAACATGGCTGTATTGAGAACATGAGCAGGAACATGACCGAGAACATGGTTGTGTTGAGAACATGGCTGTGTTCAGAACACGGGCAAGAATACAGCTGTGTTCAGAAGGGCAGGGTAATTAGCACGGCCGTGTTGAGATCAAAATGACCGTGTTGGCTGTTTGGGACGCTCAGTCACCTTCTAAGACATCTAGCACAACCGTGTTCAATCCCAGTAAACTATTTTGTGACTAAAATTGATAAATTTTCATTTGAGTAGGACCAAAATTGATAATTTTTTTTTTGAATGAGACCAAAATTGATAATTATGATATTGAATGAGACCAAAAATAATTTTTACTCTATTTTTAATAAAAATTTTAACATATATATATTTTTTGTTTCTTTATTTTTATTATAGATGAGAAGTGCTCAACAAATTTACAAAATACTTATGCTTGAAATCAGAGATTGCCAATATTTTTTTTTCTTTTATTTTTTTAATGGGATTGTTGGTGTTGCCAATAGTTTTTTTTTTTTTTCTTAATATGAGATCATTGGTGTTTAAAAATAATTTAATGTTTATTACTGAATCACTAATTGATTGTTTTTATTGTGGTTATTATTATTATTATTTTGTATAAAAACTTGTATTATTAGTGACATATGAATATTTTATTAAAATAAAACATCGAATCTTACGAGTCAAACTCCAGCCACTATTTTAACTCGAATTTATTACGGAGTAGCGCCGAACCAAGCCTGTACCGATAACATGTTCGAGTCGAGCTCGAACACCATGTACTGAAGGAGCTCGCTCGGCTCGTTTAACATCTGTACCCGCACCACACCGAAGCACTCACCACCCACCGTATTTTAACAAATCCGATTTGAATAATTTTGTACAAGCCTAATCGACTCCACTACATATTAGTGCAGGTAGACAAACAAAACTAACCGATCACGGGACGGTTTAAAATCTCTGTCTCGTCCGCGGCTGCTTGAAACCACCGCTCCTTTTGTTCCTTTCCCTTCCAGTTCCCTCACATTCACTTCACTGCTCTGGTCAGCACTTCTTTCGATTGGATAAACTTGCAGTTTGCAGAGCAACAATGGCTATGGCGTGCATTTCGAGCGCGATTTCGCTTAAGCAAGGCCTTTCCCTCTTCTGTCCTCACTCCATTGCGGTTCCTCAATTTTCGCACCCTTCTTCCGTTGCTGCCTCCGCGCGTTTGCGAAGAAGATTTTCTGTGTCGGCTTCGTCCTTCGCCAATGAAAATCGAGAGTAATAGTTTTAATTTTTAAAGTTTGTCCTCATCTTACAGTATTTAACCAATTCAGCTGTCCTTTTAAGGTGTCCACTGTTTGTTTTCGCAGATTTGTGATAGTTGGAGGCAGAAATGCAGCTGGTTATGCCGCTCGGACTTTTGTGGAGCATGGAATGGCAGATGGCAGGCTTTGCATTGTGTCCAAAGAGGTAGCCCCTTGTTCCATGGATTGAACAAATGGATGGCTAATCTAATGTATGAGCTTTAATTGGTCTCTTTATGTAGTATGTGGTACTGGAATTGTCGAAGTACATTGGTACGGTGTTGTAAGTATGTGTCAACAGTTCAGTTTATTGATGTTAGATTTTTACAATTGATATGAGAATTTAATGTTTATGTTAATAATGGAGGTGTTAGGAATCCCATGAGCCAAAATTACAAATGGTTATTGAGCCAAAATTACAAATGGTTATTGTATGCCCTCACCTCTGTCTGGAGAAAATTTATAGTCGAGGAATATATGCGTAGACACTAAAAATATATGTCTAAAATAAATTAAATATCATGTATTTTGGAAAAAAATAAAATTCCAATAAAATAAATATATGGTATTTAATTATGCACATATGTTAATTTTTGTACAATAAATATCAACCATTAATATAAAAATATGCTTAAAATGGAAGATATCGTACAAATATTACGTGCATAAATAGAGCCATAATAAATTTGGCAGCAAAATAAATTAATCTTCTCAATAAAGGAAGTATATAAATTAATATCTTCCAAAAAAGACAATGATATAAAGATTTTGGCGAGAAAGGAAGGTGCGCAATCAAATCCGTCGAGAATGGAAAACAACATCTGATGGAAAAGAAAATCTTTCCTTCCACGTGGCACCATCCGAAAAGGAAGCCGAGGCCACCCATCCCCTATAAATAGGAGCCATGACCAATTCATTTGACACACCGAAGTTCATTTGAAGACTCGTGCATGGGTAAGTCTCTTTAGACTCTCTGCAATGTTCTTCATTGTTCTTCGTGTCCTTCGAAGCATTCTTCGTCGAAAAGTCACCGATGTTGACAAATGATCCAATATTAGTTAGCGAATCGATGAAGTTAACGTTCTTCGTCGTATGTCCGAGCCGGAGGAAGGATCAAAGCTCTCAAAGCCATCGAGGAATCCATCAAAGCCAATGAAGAGCCTCCAAAGCCGCTCTCAAAGCTTCAAGATGTTCGTCGTGTTCTTCATAAAAGGCGCAAACCAGGCCCTCTTCGATCCAAAAGTCAAAGGGACACGCCGCCAAAAGCGTTATGGAGCACTAAATCCACCTCTTCAAGGATCAAAGCTCTCAAAGCCGTTGAGGAATTCGTCAAAGCCAAGGGAAAGTCTCCAGAGTTCATCCCAAAGCTTCGAGGTGTTCATCGCATTCTTCACCAAAGCAACAACTCGGCCCTCTTCGATCCAAAAGTCAAAGGGACACGCCGTCAAAAGCGTTATGGAGCACCAAATCCACCTTTTCAAAGATCAAAGCTGCGGATCATTAAAAGAGGACATCAAATCCAAAGCTTAGGATCAAATCACCTGCACGGAGACCAAAGCCCTCCAAAAGCGGCAAAGACAAATCAAAGATCAAAGCTGCGGATCGTCCAAAGAAAACATCAAATCCAAAGTTGAGGATCAAATCGCCCACACGGAGACCGAAGCTCTCCAAAAGGTGGAAAAGGAAAACTAAAGATCAAAGTTGCGGATCGTCTAAAGAAGATAAAAAATCCAAAGACGATGATCAAGTCGTCAACGCGGAGACCAAAGTCCTCCAAAAGCGGCAAAGCCAAAGCAAAGGTCAAAGTCGCGGATCATCTAAAGAAGACATCAAATCCAAAGCCGATGATCGAATCGCCCACGCGGAGACCAAAGTCCTCAAAAAGTGGCAAAGCCAAAGCAAAGGTCAAAGTCGTGGATCGTCTAAAGAAGACAACAAATCCAAAGACGATGATCAAATCGCCAATACGGAGACCAAAGTCCTCCAAAAGCGGCAAAGCTAAAACAAATGTCAAAGTCGCGGATCGTCCAAAGAAGACAACAAATCCAAAGACGATGATCAAATTGCCAACACGGAGGCCAAAGTCCTCCAAAAGCGGCAAAGCCAAATCAAAGATCAAAGCTTCGGATCGTCTAAAAAAAGAAATCAAATCCAAAGCTGACGATCAAATCGCCCGCACGGAGACCAAAACCCTCCAAAAGGAGGCAAAGTCAAACTGAAGACCAAATCTCTTTGGATCAAAGAAGCCATCGAAAACCAAGTTGGAAAATAAATCGACCCGGAAGGAGAATCAAAGGACCCATTTAGAGAATAGGACCCGCTTTAAATTCAAATCAAATATAATTTGTACAAATTTTATGTTATTAAAAATAACACAATTTTTTGTCCACAGATTTTTGGCACGCCCAATGGGACCTCTCTACCTTTCATCTCTCTTTCTGACGAACTTTCAACAACCAATGACTTCCTACAAGATCAAGACTTCTAACGTTGTGTCAAAAGTTGCTGCTCAAGCCGCCGTCGCCGCCAAAGAAGTTGGCGCACCCATCGTGTCCAAAACCTCAAGCGCTTCGACAAATACTGGAATGACAACACGAAGCATGACCAAAAGAGCATTGTCGTTATCTGAAGACACTTCTCCAAAAATCACAAAGCAAAGTCCACTATATGAAGAAGACGACAACTTTAAGAGTATTGCTGCATTGTTCACCCCTCAACAAACTGCAAGTCATTCGACCGTATCAAGCTCTGCTCCGGTGATGATTACCAACGCTTCAAATATTGAGGACCCAAAGATTGTGGATCAAAGTCTTTTCTGCGAGGAATATAAAAGCTTCAAAGGTACTTTTATGCCACCTACTCATCGGCCAATTTCAAGTCATTCAACCGCATCAAGCTCTGCTCCGGTGATGACTATCAACGCTTCAAATATAGAAGATCAACTTGCAGCATTGGCCAAAATTGTTGAAGGAATGTCTCAACACATGCAACAACAAAACACCCTCATTGAAAAACTTCTCACAAAGCTGGACAAGCCTGAAGAAGCCGGCCATGCAACTGAAAAACAACAATCTTCCCCAGCGGTTCAAAATAAAGCGGCAACATTTGTGGAGCAACGTCATGGCAAATAAAAGGTGGCGGAATTAAATCCATTTCAAGGATCATCCAACTCCTTCATCCATATATCCCAACTTGACAAGTACATCAAGGGGGCAATCAAAAGACAATTCGAAGGGAGTTCAAGGCCGACACACACTTACGCCAAGCCTTACACTGCAAGGATTGACGCCCTCAAAATGCCTACGAGCTATCAACCACCAAAGTTTCAAAAATTTGACGGCAAAGGCAATCCAAAGCAACATATAGCGCACTTTGTCGAGATATGCAACGATGCTGGAACATATGGAGACCTCCTAGTCAAACAATTTGTGCGGTCACTAAACGGCAACGCCTTCGACTGGTACATCGACTTAGAGGCTTGTTCCATCGACAATTGGGAACAACTAGAGTACGAGTTCTTGAATCGGTTCTATAGCACAAAGAGAACCGTCAGCATGACCGAACTCACCAACAGCCGCCAATGGAAAGATGAACCAGTAATTGACTACATCAACCGCTGAAGAAGTCTAAGCCTCAACTGCAAAGACCGTATGTCCGAGGCTTCCGGCATAGAAATGTGCATTCAAGGGATGCAATGGGGCTTGAAATACATCCTACAAGGGATCCGACCCCATACTTTTGAAGAACTCGCCACTCGCGCTCATGATATGGAATTGAGCATGATGTCTAGTGGAATGTATGGACCGCCTACTGAAGATTTCTCAGATGACGAGAAAATACAACACTTAAAACAGTGGGGGCAATCTTACCTACAATACTCCTGGAAATGAGGATAAACTTTCTGCAATCTCCTGGAAATGAGGATAAACTTTCTGCAATCTCCTGGAAATGAGGATAAACTTTCTTCAATCTCTTGGAAACGAGGATAAACTTTCTTTAATCTCCTGGGAATGAGGATAAACTTTCTAACAAAACTCCTTAACACGAGAATAAACTGTTTAACGAAAACAAACAAATTCAATTTGTTTTGAACTACGTTATGACTTGATTCCTTAACCGGATACGTAGGCAACTTGGAATATAACTCCGAGTTCAGTCAATTATACCAAAAAAAAAAAAAGTCCAAAAAAAATCGAGCTTAAAAAAAATCAATTGGACAAAAAAAATCTCATCCAAAAAAAAAGAAAGAAAGAAAGAAACAAAAAAAGAAAAAGCCCTTTCAAAAAAAAATATTGGCTAAAAAAAATAAAAAATGATAGCCATAAAAAAAATCAGTCAAAAAGAAAAATTGACTTATGTTTCGAGACTCATTCACGCCTTAAACGCTTTGCATCGGCTTAAAAGAGTCTTGAGGGGGCATTTTGTAGACACTAAAAATATATGTCTAAAATTCATTAAATATCATGTATTTTGGAAGAAAATAAAATTCCAATAAAATAAATATATGGTATTTAATTATGCACATATGTTAATTTTTGTACAATAAATATCAACCATTAATGCAAAAATATGCTTAAAATGGAAGATATTGTACAAATATTACATGCATAAATAGAGTCATAATAAATTTGGCAGCAAAATAAATTAATCTTGTCAATAAAGGAAGTATATAAATTAATATCTTCCAAAAAAGACAATGATATAAAGATTTTGGCGAGAAAGGAAGGTGCGCAATCAAATCCATCAAGAATGGAAAACAACATCTGATGGAAAAGGAAATATTATAAAATCTTTCCATCCACGTGGCACCATTCGAAAAGGAAGCCAAGGCCACCCATCCCCTATAAATAGGAGCCATGACCAATTCATTTGACACACCGAAGTTCATTTGAAGACTCGCGCAAGGGTAAGTCTCTTTAGACTCTCTGCAATGTTCTTCATTGTTCTTCGTGTCCTTCGAAGCGTTCTTCGTCAAAAAGTCACCAATGTGGACAAATGATCCAATATTGGTTAGCGAATCGATGAAGTTAACGTTCTTCGTCGTATGTCCGAGCCAGAGGAAGGATCAAAGCTCTCAAAGCCATCGAGGAATCCATCAAAACCAATGAAGAGCCTCCAAAGCCGCTCTCAAAGCTTCAAGATGTTCGTCGCGTTCTTCATAAAAGGCGCAAACCAGGCCCTCTTCGATCCAAAAGTCAAAGGGACACGCCGCCAAAAGCGTTATGGAGCACTAAATCCGCCTCTTCAAGGATCAAAGCTCTCAAAGCCGTTGAGGAATTCGTCAAAGCCAAGGGAAAGTCTTCAGAGTTC